TTTTTATTTTTTTTTTTAAATTGCTTTTAAAGTATAGAATTCAGTGGTTTGAGAATATTCATTATTGGGCTAGGGATTTAGCTCAGTGGTTCTGGCGCCTGCCTAGCAAGTGCAAGGTCCCAAGTTCGATCCCCAGTACCAAAAAAAAAAAAAAACGAAAACGAGAATATTCATTAAGTCGTGTAACTATCACCACTGTCTAGTGTGAGAGCATTTTTCATAATCCTAAGGAGAAACTGTACCCATGATCAATCACTCCTTCCCTCCACTCAGCCCCTGGCAATCACTAATGTACTTTCTTCTCTCTATGCATTTGCTTACTCTGGACATTTTACAAAAACAAATCATACAGTATGTAGTCCTCTGTTACCAGCTTCTTTCACTTAGCTTCATGTCTTCAAGGGCTTTGTCTGTAACACATAAAAACATTCCATTCCTTTTTATTGATGAATACTATTGTATTGTGTGGATATACTACATTTTATTTATTAGTTGTCTATCAGTTAATAAATATTTGGGTCACTTCCACTTTTTGGTTATTATGAGCATAATTATAGGAATATTCCTGTACAAATTATTATGAATATATGGGGTTGTTTTTTCTTTTTTTGGTACCAGGGATCGAACTCAGGTCCTTAGGCTTGCGCAGCAGGTGGTGAAACCACTGAGCTAAATTCCCAGCCCCTGAATATATGGTTTCAATTCTCTTAGGTATATACCTAGGTGTGGAATTGTTGGGTTATATAACTTTATGTTTAACCATTTGAGGAACTCCTAGACTGTTTTTCAAATAGCTGAATGAACATCAGACATGATGATGTATGCCTTAATCCCAGCACTTGGAAGGCTGAGGCAGAAGGATCAACATGCGTTCAAGGCCAGCCTGAAGTACACACGGAGACCCTGTCTCAAAACAAGACAAAAGAACCCAACCTTCAAAAACAAACAAAATATCAAATAGTTGAACGATTTTACCTTCCCACCATCAGTGTCTGAGGGTTCCAATTTCTTCCTATCCTTGCCAACACTTATCTGACCTTTTGATTATAATATAGCCACTCTAGTGGGTATAAGGTGGTATCTCACTATAATTTTATTTTATTTACTTTTTTCAGGTACCAGGGATCGAACTTAGGACCTTGTGCTTGCCAAGCAGGCAAGCACCACTGAGCTATAACCCCGGCCCTCTCACTACAATTTTTTTTTTTTTTTTGGTACCGGGGATCGAACTCTGGTCCTTGCACTTGCACAGCAGGCGGCACTGAGCTAAATACCTGGCCCACTACAATTTTAATTTGTATTTCACCTTATAGGTAATGATATTGAGTGTCTTTTTACACTTATTTCTGTATATTGATTGGAAAATTTTCTATTTATTTTATCTATTTAAAAATTATATTGTTAAGGCAGGTGTGGTAATACATGGCTATAATCCCAGCACTCAGAAGGCTGAGGTGGGAGGATTGCCATGAGTTTGAGGCCAACCTGGGTTACAGTCAGTTCAAGGGCAGCCTGAATTACATAGTGAAACTCTTGTCTCAAGAAAAAAAAAAAAAAATCAGTCTTTTCATTATTGAGTTTTAGTAATTCTTTATATACTTTGGTTCCTAGATCCTAATTAGATGTTATTTGTAAATATTTTCTTTCACTTTGTAGGTTGTCTTTTTATTGTGATCATATCCTATGAAGCAGTTTTTAATTTTGATTAAAGTTCCATTTTTCTTAGTTGCTTGTGTTTTAGATATCATGTCTGAAAAATAGGTATCTAACTCAAGGTCCCAAGATTTCCACATCTTCTAAGAGTTTTATAATTTCATTTCTCATATTTAGCTATCCATTTGAGTTAACTTTTATATGCAGAATATTAATCTTTTCTCATATTTTTTTGTTTCATCTTTCAGGATTTTAAGTGTATTTATTTTGTAGTTTCCACCGGACAATTCTATGATTGAAGTTTATTTAAGTCTAAAATTCCTGTTCATTACATCCCTGATATTTGTTACTTTGGATCTTAAGTTTATCTAGGCAGTGCTTTATTGGACGCTGCTCATCCTGGGGACAACAATATCCCTGCAGGGTGGATTTTCTTGTTTGCCAAGTGCCTCTAGATGTTAACCAGACCAGAATCCTCCTTTGTGTTCATTTCTTGGTTGGTAATTTCTAGAGGTAAGTGTTGAGCCCAAAGGGCTGGGGATGTAGCTCAGAGGTAGAGTACTTGCCTAGCATGCACCTGGTCCTGGCTTCTACCCCAAGGACTGTAAAAAAAAAATACCACCCACCTCAACCCACAAGAGGGCAAGCCTGTGGTAACAATCTTAAAGGAAAACTGTTTTCTTGACCTTGAGAACAGGATATTCCAATTTCTCTTCCACGTTTCTGGCTGGAGTCAGGTTTTTGCTACTGCCACTTCTCACGAGAGTTTTCCTTTTTTAAAGTGAATTTACTTTATGCTGTTGATTTAGTTCTACACCCTACCAGGCTAAGGCCCAAAACTTTGTCTTGACTCAATGTGGCCATTAAATTCAAGGTCCGTGGTCACTAGGATAGTAGTCCCCTAGCCCAGCACCTAAAGCATGGACCTGTCCACTGCTCTAGTTATTTTGTTCACTCGTAGATTTTGCCCTCTACAGACTGAAATAGTCATGCATTTTAAGGATATGAGTTATATTTAATCTAGCATTTCAAAGTGTTAACAAGCAGGAAGAGTTTCAGATCCTCCCTAGAAAAATTACTAGATAAAAAATTACATTGTGCTAGAAATGGTGATGCAAGCCTCTAATCCCAGAACTCAGGAGGCTGAGGCAGGAGGATTGCTGTGAGTTCCAGGCCACCCTGGGTGACAGAGAGTTCAAAGCCAGCCTGAACTACATAGCGGGACTCTGTCTTAAAAAACAAAACAAAACAAAAAAATTACATTGAATTTTTTATATTAAAGCAAACACAATTACATTGCAGAATAGAATATAAGGTTTTATAAGTTCACAGTAACAAACCTGAAGAAAGGGTCTTCCCATGATCCCATCCCGACAAGCAGTTTTGAGATCATGAGCGAGGTCCAGGGATAGCACATAGTGCTATAAGAAGACACTGTTCATTGCAAGGACAGGTCTTATACTAATAATTCTCTTTTTTGGTACTGCGGATCGAACTCAGGACCTTGCGCTTGTGAGGCAGGCGTGGTGCCGCTGAGCTAAATCCCCGGTCCTATAATTTTCTTACAGGCTACCTATTCACCATATGCCTGCTGCAAGAATCTCTGACCAATGTCCCTTTATTTAGCTGTTGGTGATACAGGCCAGGTGTATCTGCCCTGAGCTGCTGAGCCCTAATTGCCTCACAGCCTCTCAGATGCAACTCTCATAGGAGAGCTCTTATTGGCTCAGGTCCTGTGGAGGAAGGTGGCCTGTCTAGCTCCTTTAGTCTCCAACTCACTGGGATGTGCAATAAGCTCCCTGAGAGGAGGGAAGGCCTTCTCAGGAGGCAGAGATGCTTAATGCCAGTGGCAGAGGCTGCATACACTTGCTTTGACTGCCTCAGGAGGATGCTGTCGTGAAACTCCAAGAAATAAAGAATTTCAGCCCATAAGTCTTGCTTGCTGTGTGCTGGGAGAAGCACAAAGAATTGTTGAGCAGCACCAAGCCTTAAGAGTTCAAAAGTCTACTGAATCTTACAAAGACCTCAGCTACTTCATGTAGACCCCAGCACCCTAACTGTAAATCAGTTCCTGAGCAGAAGGCCATGATTTTCACAGTGCAACAATATCAAAGCCTTTCATCTCTCCAATCAATCTTTTACTCCTTTTCTGGACAACCCTGGGTTCCATTCAAAGGACAATATTACTCTCATCACAATGCAACAACTAACAACTTTATGCCTTTGCCCTTGTGGTCCTTTTGCCCAAGGTGTCCTCCCCCACAGCACCTTCTAGTTACCCCTCTCACTTTAAGCCACCACTCCTTTTTCCTGGTGGCTAAGGTAGGCCTCTGTGATCTTTGTTTCCTGCTGGGAGCCAGGCTACCTTGTGGGAGTCTGGGGAGGTACTGTACCTTCTTTGTTCTCTCAGGGTCCCACAGTCAACACTCACCTTTCTACAGCTGCCGAAGTCACACTGGTCAAGGAAGGAGCACCTGGTGTGGCTTTGGAACGCTCTGTGAATCGGGAGTCAAATGCTTTCATGGGCTCAATCTTGGATGGGGTTGTTAACACGGAAGGTGACAATGCAGCAGGAGTAGAGGTAGCATTCACACTGAGGAGTGAAGAAGATAAGAAGCACATTGAACAGAATCCTAAACAATGTGGAGGACTAAATTTATATTACTTGGAGCCTTTAAAAGGGGTACAAAAAAACTTCTTTCAACAAAAAAATTTCAATATATAATCTTTACAATTTTCATGTTAGAATTTTGGAAGACTGACTGAGAGGGTTGTGGGTAAATGGATTGGTATTTGCCCCTCTGCATTGTTCTAAGAACTTTTGGGGGTAACTAAACACACAGTTCTATCTCAATAACTTACACATGGCATGTCAATACAAAAATCACTCCAACTACCAGCTTTTGCCACTTTACTAATGGAGCTGATGAGAAAAGCTCCTATTCAGGATCCTGAAGCCATGGTTGGTTCCTGGCCTTGATCTTCAGTCTAATAAACTCCTCTAAGTGCTTATCCCATAGTCCTTACCTTCTACTCCAGGAGGAAAAGAGAGGCTTAGACATGAGCTTGCCTAGCTTCCCTCCTGCCAAGCCTATCCCATACTCTTGGGCCTTAAAGCCACTGAACTTCTTTCTGATCTGGCTAACATCTCTAATCTCATTTGTACATGGGGAGCCACCTTGTATAGCATTTTTTTCCTCCTCCATTACTTGTAGGGCCATCCCCTGCAATGTTTCTCAGCTCTGGTGATGTCTGTCCTTTGTAGGCATCCTTCTTCCCTGGATGCTTTGCTTCCTAACTGGTCTTGTTGCACTATTCCTTCTCTTCTGATCCACCCTCACAGTTTCCTAAGAGCAGTGACACTTGATGTTTGGTGAGCCTCCACAGCATGGATGCCTGAACCCAGAAGAGCTACAATAACACGATATCATCCCAACCAACAAGAGATACTCTCTCAGTATCAGCTGTGTGAGACAGTGGCTAAATTCAGGCGCCACTGTTTATTGGAACCATCTTCCTAAAATGTAAGTCTCAAAGTCTTCTGTGTCCCAGACCACATGGTTCAGTGTAGGAACACAACTTTTCTCCTAATCCCACCCCACCTCAGGACCTTGGAGCTTTGCTCTTGCTGTTGTCTCGGTTCCCCACCTATTTCTCCTTGGTTGGCTTATATGGGCCCTAGGGAAGGCACCTTCTGAGAAGCCTCCCTAAGACTTGTCTACCAACCCCTTGGATGGACAGCCATTCTGCCTAGGATCCTAGGAGCTACCCTGCAACCCTGTGGCTGCCTATTCTTATCAGCCTATAATTCCTGAAGACAAGCACCCACCAATCAATACCCAGAAAATGCCCAGTCCCTGAAAAATGTGCAACTGGAAGCAGGTATGGGGCAAATCTTTACTCTTGGCTCTCATTCATGTCTCCCTGGCCCTTTCTGATTTCTTAATTTTGCAGCTAATGGTCAGTGAAGACACAGGCTGAGTATGATTCTGAGAGTGTAAGGGAAGTCAAGCGCCTGTACCTGAGTGCCCTGCTCAGGATGAATGGTGGGTAAAGCTCATAGCACAGTGAAGTGGAGGCCAAAGCCCAGAAATGGGTGGTCACCTCCAGTATAGTTCTGTCAGAAGGTGGGGCTGACCTTGTGGCAGGCAACATCTCACTGACAGGTCTCCAATCTTTATAGCGCAATCCTCGGTCAGGTGAGGCACCTACTCATAGCCCTGTGCATCAGAGATTTGACTGAATAAATCCTCCCTTCTGAAGAGGTCCTCATCTGAAATCAAGCATTTCTTTTCTTTTATTATTGAAAGGGCCATGAAATGAGAACAGAATGAAATTCTCATTCTTGGAACCATGTCCACACCTGAATTCTCCCCAAGGACAAGACCAAGCCTTTGTACCCACTAACCTGTCCTTACTGACAGACTCGCCTGTAGGTCTGGCACTGGTGGCTGCCACAGGCTCTGTGCAAGACTTCGAGGCGCCAAAGGAGTTGGGGGTACTGGAGTCCAGTGGCAGTAGCTGCTGACTGTGAGAGGATAGCATGGTGCCCGCAAGAGAGCCCGAGAGTGGGATGCTGTTAAAGAATGCCGTGGAGAAGTCCCTGTTGTCAAGCAAGAACAAAAGCCAGCTGAAAATCAGATGCCATATCAAGTACCCTATATCTTCTACATAACATTTTTCTTGGTTCAGAGACCATCTATTTTCATGATAGGTAATTTGGAAAGTTACAGACAAGTCCAAAAAAAAAAAAAATCCATTAATATACTATATGTAACTGAATGTAAGATCCACTAATACTCTCTGTACCACTAAGAAAGACTACTACTATTACTACTACCACTTGTCATCACAGAGATGTTAAATTGTGTAATCATGTCTTTTGAACAGAAAAAAATGAAGCATACTAAGAGGTCCTTCCTTTTATTAACGGTGATAGGCCTTTCCACTGGATGGCTATATCTTTTTTTTTTTTTTTTTTTGGTATCAGGGATCAAACTCGGGACCTTGTGCTTTCGAGGCAGGCGCCGGAACCACTGAGCTAAATCCCTGGCCCTGGATGGATATATCATAATTGACCTAACTTAGTCTCTTAGCTTCTGCTGCAACAAGAGACAAGATATTGCAGTGTTAAGTAGAGGACCCTGTGCCAGACTAGCAGGGCTGACTTTTATACCACTTGCAAGGTTGTGGCCTTGTGTACTTCAATCACTTCTACTGTACTTCAGGTTACTGTATGTAAAACAGAAAGTCCTAGGACTCTTCCTATGGGGTTGCTTTTAGGATTAAAAGTTAGTATAGCACATGCTTAGCATGTAGTACCTGATCAAAAAATGCCTGGAATTATAATTACCACTACACCTGTTGATTCACCTATTACATAAGATAAATTCTTAGAAGTGAAGTTGGAGCAGCAAATGGAATGTTTGTTCTTGATTTCTGATAAACACTTTAAAAACTTCCTGCTTAGAGATTTAAATTACAAGCTATTTATGAGACTGCCTATTTCCTCATAATCTCACTCAATTTTATCAAATTTTTGATGCTTGTCAATCTGATGGATGAAAAATGTATCTTTTTTTTTTTTTGGTACCAGGGATTGAACTCGGGACCTTGCACTTGCAAGGCATGTGGCGGCACCACTGAGCTAAATCCCTGGCCCAAAAAATGATATCTTAACCATAGCTTTGGTTTGCAATTATTGTTATGTAATTTTCATATAAAAATATCTGATTTTCTTTTTTGGTGAATTCTTTATTCATATCCTTTGTCCATTATTTAATTTGATTATTGGTCTTTATTATTAATTTGAGATAAGGATTTACATATTTAACCCCCCCATTCCTTTTATGGGTAGGAAATATCTCCCCAGGATGTTGTGTTTAGATTCTGTTATAGTCATCCTCGTCAAAGACACTACTTTTGTGTGGCCTAATTTGGTGTCATTTATAGAAAAGATTTTTACCTCTGAGATTACATAAAAAAAATTTTTATACACTCCTTTCAACAAAACTATTTTAAACACCCTGCCCCCCCTGCAAAGAAAAAACCCTTGGAACTGTTTTTTATGAGATTGGGATCCAACTTGGTTTCTAGAGTGACAGTCCTTTTCATTCATTAAATTAGCTAATGTTCAATGATATGAAATACTAACTTTAAAACTCCCTTAAATATTTGGGCTTTTCTGGGGAGGAAATTCTAATTATATTCCATTGCTCTATTCATGTGTCGGTTTAGTACCTCATTATTCAGATTATTACATTTTACAAGTATTAAAATTTCTGGTGGGGTTAGTCTTCCCTGATTAATCTTTTGTTTGTCAGAACTATTTTAAAAGCTTAAAAAAACAAAAATTCAGCTATTCCTATTTACTTTTCCACCCAACTTTAGAATTACCTTGTCTGATTTGAAAATGCCTATGGTTATTTTTATTAGTTCAGGTTAAATTTGTAGGTTAAGGGAGAACTGACATCTTTGTTTTCTTCTTTTCTTTTCTAGTAGTAGTGGGGACTTAACCCTGGGCCTTCACACTGAGCTAGATTCCCAACGCTTTAACTTTTCATTTTGGGACAGTCACTACCTTACTCATCTTGGGCTTTAACGTGCAATCTTCCTGCCTCAGCCTCCCAGAGCGCTGGGATTACAGCCCTCAAGAGAACTCAGTATCATTATGATACTGGGTCATCCTAGCTAATCAATGGTATGTATTTCTAGTTGTATTTCTTTGAGCTTTCTTTTAAGTCTCTCATAGGGTTTAAATTTTGTTTTTTAATAAAGATTTATATTTCTTAGCCAGACATAATGGTTTGTGCCTGCAGTCCCAGCTACTAAGGAGACTGAGGCAGGTAGACTGCTTAAATACGTAAATTTAAGCCAGCCTGGGCAATGTAGCAAGACCCTGTGTCAAAAGAAAAAAGCAAAAACCAAAGATGTACACTTCTTGTTACATTATAGATATTTCATTTATGAATGTGATTTCTTCTTTTATCTGTTTAAAAGTAGTTGGTGATACTTGATTTCATGTTGATTGTATCTAACTACCTTATTGTCTTCTTTGATTGTCTGTGGCAGTTTTTCCAGTTGATTCTCACACAGAGCATATCATCCTTAAATAATGATACATTTTACATTCTGTTTTCCAATTTATTCTTGACTAACTGCATAGGCTTGGACCTGTAGGACAATATTAAATTATAGTCACAAGAGTAAAAAGTTATTTAGTCTCTGAACTTGATTTGAAAGAAGATGACTTATTGAGTTAAGGAACCAACTATCCTACTTCCATTTAATTGAGTTTTAAATCAGAACATTGAATTTTATCAAAATGTCTCAAGTATCTACAAAGGTGACCATACTATTTGTTTCTTTTGATCAGTTGACATGTAGACTTAACAGTACCCCCAAATCTGAATTTCCTTCCTAAAATCTTATTTGGTTATGGATATTAGCATCTAACATGCTGTAAGATTCAGCTTGTTACTATTTTATTTAGGATTTTTCATTGAGATTCAGAAGCAAAATAGATCTGTAATGTATTATGCTCTACCTTTGTTTTCTTTTGCTTTTGAGATAGGGACTCACTAAGTTCCCCAGGCTGTCTCAAACTTCTGGGCTCAAGTGATCCTACTGCTTCAATTTCCTAAATAGCTGAGACCATAGCATGCACCATGGCACCTGGCTATCTTTTTACATTTTGACGTAAATATTACGTTCTTTGAAAAAAATAAAAATTTCAAATGTGTCTTGTCTATGCACTAGAATATGTGCATCTGCATTAGTTATCTGTTCTTTTTTGTTGGTTTTTTAAGACAGGGTTCTCACTATGTAGTCCAGGCTGGCCTTGAACTCACTATGTAGCTCAGGCTGGCCTCAAATTCGCAGCAATCCTCCTGCCTCTACCTCCTGAATTCTGGGATTACAGATATGTACCACCATATCTGGCAAGTTCTCTGTTCTTTAGATTTGTTAGGATCTCCCTGTGAAGCCTTCTTAGTCCGGGGCCTTTTGGTGGTGTTAACTTGTTGATAGTGTCCTCTGTTTTCTTTTTTTTGGTTTTTAAAGACAGGGTCTCATTATGTAGTTCAGGCTATCCTTAAACTCACTACGTAGTTGAGGCTGTCCTTGAACTCGTGGAGATCCTCCTGCCTCAGCCTCCCAAGTGCTGGGATTACAGGAGTGCACCACTACGGCTGCCTGTTCTCTATGTTTTCTAGTAAATTCTTCAGTTTTAGTAATTTTATTTTCTTCAAAAACTGCCTACTCTCCCTGCCTCACAAACGCAAGTTCCTGAATTCGATCCCCTGTACCAAAAAACCAAACCAAAACAAACTATCTACTCTCCAATTTATCTGCACAGAGTTCAGCAAAGAAATCTCTCATCTTTTTTGATTTATTTTTTATCTGTGATTATTTCCCACTTAGAATTACTTTGAATATTGTATTGTTTTCTTTCTTAACTAATCTAATAACTACTTATATGGTTGTTAATTGTTTGAACATGGGAATCAGGAGGGTGAAAAAGCCTTTAAAACAAAAGGAATCAAGGTTTGGTGCCAGAAATATATACCCAATGGCAGAAAGGCCCCTACCTCCTTTGCCTATTTAATATGTAAGATCTAGAAGGATCTATAGAACAAGTGTCATCCCTGCCACAACGACATCCTTCATTGCCATAGGCCTAGCAGTGCTCAAAGCACATTCACATACTTGGTCTCACTCGATCCTAATAAAGGCTGGGCAGGTGGCTTACCCGGTGTAGGTTCACAATAAGAAAAAGGGTTAGTCAAAAGGTAAATTATTGATCTGGGAGGGATAAGCAGATCTGGTTCTAGCTAGATTTCTGCCTTGTGGGGCCTCAGTGCCCACACACCTAACATGAGAAGTCAGGTCAGCACATCAACTGATTGAAGATCTCTTTAGCTTTCAAGGAAGATCCGGAACAGCTCATGGATGGATAGCTGCAGAGTGCAGAGGACTATTGTGCCTTGGTCTCCATGAATGACTTCCTGATGTCCTAAGAGGATTGCTACACCTTGACAATGTTCTATTTTCTTCACCAGGCCTTTACCATCCTTTGAATTAACAAATATCATTTCTAGAGAACAACCAATATAAAAGCAAGCCTGACTGTAGACATTGAGACAATGGCAAATGGTGAAGGAGTCCATGTCCATCCTTTGCCCCCATGGGGTAATATCAATGTGTCTCAGAGCCCTACCCTCTGCCTAGCAGTTCCATTTCTAGGAATTATTCTGAGGAAACAGTTACAGGTATACTCCAAGGTTAATTTACAATCCAAAAAATTGGACACAAACTACAAGTCCACAGTTGAGGAGCCAGTTCAGTCAATCATGGTGCTTCATAGGACAGGAACCTGAGTAATCACCAATTGAAGGCTTCAGAGGACTATTTATTACAGTAGACAAAAGGTCAAGACACAGTAACAAGTGGGGAAAAAGATTGGAAATACAGACACCAAAATGTCAGCAAGGGTTATATCTGAAAGATTGGATTTTAGATGTTTATACTTTTCTTTGGGCTTTTAATATATATACCTTTCATCTTATAAATATGATATATATATATTCATAATAAAAAATGTCATAAAAATGAAACAAAGAAAAAATAAATCAGTCTGACTTCTGTATTCATGTGTCCTCCAGCGACCTGCCAACAGTGAAGTATGGTAGACACACTAGCTCTGAGAAGGCCTCCTGGCCTGCAGGCCATCTCAGCCCTTTTCACATGAATCAAATGTACACAGAGCTCTGGAAGGAACAACTCTCTTCCATATTTGGTTAGTCTTATTGGCCTAAGAATCTGTGAAGACCTTAACTATAAAAGTACTAATTGGTAAAAGGAGAGAGGAAGATCTCCCCAGACAAGGTCACAGAAAGTTTGGTGAATGACTGAGTACCCAGTGTCCAGCTGTGCTATGCAGAGAGGTGTGATTCTTCTCCGACCATCTGCTGTCCGAGTCTCAACTTGTTTCTTCAAAAGATTCTGGCAAAATAGAGTCACATAAATGAATGGAAAAGTTTCTGCCAACTATCAAAAAACCCAAAAAGTTGCTTCTTAATTTTTTCTTTTTGTGATAGGAATACTTAGTATAACATCTATTCTCTAGTAAATAATGTAATACAGTATTGTTAACTGCAGGTACACTGCTGTGCAGCAGATCTCTCAGGACTGACTGAGACCGTATGCTTTGGCAATACCTCCCCATCTCCCTTCCCACAGTCCCTGATACTCGCCATTCTATTGCCTGCTCTGTGAGATTGACTTTTTTAGATTCCTCATATAAGTGTTTTAATAAAAGTATTTGCCTTGTGTCTGGGTTCTCCTTAAATTATTATATACACTTATAAATAATAAGTGTATATAGCTTTTTAAAATGTCAGTTATACTTCATTATAAGCGAGGTATGGTGGCTCAGGCCTGTAATCACAGTACTCGAGAGTCTCAGGCAGAAGGATCATTATGAGTTCATAGCCAGGCTGGGCTATATAGTGAGTTCACCATGAACTACATGGTGAGACCCTGTTTCAAAAAACAATAAAAAACAAAACAAAGACAAAACTATACCTCACTATAATGAGTTGAAAACAATAAGGCTTCTAGAGGAAGAAAGAACAAGAGAACGAGGAGGGAGAGAAAGGGAGAGGGAGAGAGGGAGAGGGAGAGAGGGAGAGAGGGAGAGAGGGAGAGAGGGAGAGAGGGAGAGAGGGGGAGAGAGAGAGAGAGAGATCCTAAGAGGGATTTTAACTTCCCTTTCTACAGCCCTTTTGGTACAATGAAATAAAGCCAGCTAATCAAAGTGTATAAGCATTTTTATCCAAATAGGCACTCAATTTCCTGTACATTAAAGAAGAAAGGACAGAAAGCTACTAGCTGAATCAACTCCAAGCATCTTCCACTCTGTCAGTACCACAGACATGGCCAGATTCCTGAGGCTGCAAGCACATGGCCAGGCTGGCCAAGTCCACCTGACTGCCATGGGGCTCAATGAAGAAATAAAGGTTCAGGCCTGCACCTGTGAGCCATATTCTTTTCCCTAAGCTGGTGATTTTCAAACCGACTTTTATCATAAGAGCCCTTCCTTCCAAAAAAGGCTCATATCTAAGGGTTCCCAGTCACAAATTCTGTCTAAATAACCCAGGGGAGGCTTGTCAACTGACATAAAACTCCCAGAGATGGTTTAAGTTCTCCAGGTAAGCTTGCTATTTCCTATCCCGCTCTTGTCCCCATTTATAATCCCTTGCTCCCACAAGTAAACATGGGCTTCCAGATGAAGAAGGGGCACCCACAAAAGTTTCCTAGGGGTAGAGACTGAAACCCACTGTTTGAAAGTCTAGAACTTCCTAGAAAGGTGAACCAGTGGAGGTCTGGCAGCTCCTATAAGAGATGACCTTCTCTAGGGCTCCCTGGGACAAGGAGGCCTTTGAAAAAGGTGCTTTAGACCCCATGAATGCCTTGTGGAGCTGCAGGCATGGGGCCAATTGGCCTCAAGCTAGCTAACTGTGTCTTGTGCATGGGTGTGGCATGTGCCTTCTTTACTAACACTCATGACTGTGGCTGTACCTTTGTGCACTGTCCAGGCTGCCTGTGCTAACTCTGCCCTGTGACCGTGTCTTCAGTGCCACGGAACCAAGTCCTCACCTTCCTGATGTCTTCCAGACTTTCTCCATTAACAACCCCTGTGACTGAGGAAGCTGAGGCTGTCTCTCTGGCTGTGGCACCTTTTTGGTCCAGCTGCTGCTGTTGCTGCCTCCGTTGATACTTGAGCATCTCAGGGTTCTCGATGACAGCAGTGGAGAGCTGAGCCTCGGTCATGATGGCTAGGCTTTTGCCATAGGTGGACTGGTGAATGCGGCTCTGTGGGAAGATAGGAGAGGCTTGACACATGGGACTGAGTATTGCTGTGGCCCACTCATTGGTACATTGAGGGTGTGCCTTCCTGGCTATGAGCAGCAGTGTCTGGGAGGCCAACTCTGGTTGTCTGTCCCTGACTAGGTATCTCTGTCAAAGTCTTACAACCCACTAGATGTTTATAGCCTTCCATTTATCTATAGCAGGGATGACAGTGAGATACTGACAAGAGAACATCAGTTACACTGCCTAGTGCAGAAAAAAAGTGGCAATAAATACTGTTGCAACTGAAATGCAGACATCTAAATTGCTAACTTAAGGTTCTTAACTCATCCCAAGGACTTTAAACACTATGGGAACCAGATCTTGAAAGCAATGGTCTGCTTTTGCTGCTCTTGTCCTCAGATATCAGCCACTATGGTGGGAGGTCCCCACAGGACTAACAGTGTCTCTAAAACCAGGAAAGGCTTGGCACAGCAGCCTGAAAGAGACCTTTCTGTGCTACCCTGTGATCCTTCTTAACATTTTCTGATCCTTCTGAGCAAGATCCCCTCCCATCTCCTGGGCCCTATTAATTCCTTGCCATAACAAGCTAGACAAGAGATCTACAAGATCAGGGACAGTGTCCCCAGCACACCATAGTGAGTGGTGCTCATTAAAGCATGACAGGAAAATAAGCACGATAGGAAAATAATAAATGTAAGGATATGCAAATGACCAGCACTGTTTTCTGCTCCGGATAGGGACTATGGTTAATGGGTATTTGTCTCATATCAGAGGATGCTGGGTTGGGGGAAGCTGTTTTCTAGGAAACAGGATTTGGGACTTGTGCCTGTAGGCCTGAGTGTAGCCAAGGATCTTCCTTAGCCATCTTGGTTTCTGCCCCCTAGCTCCCAAGTTTGTCACCTGGAATCTCAAGATATGCAGACCTTGACATCTCAGAGACTGGCCAAGGTTTCCTTAATGGGAACCTGGCAGTGAACTGGGAAATGTAAATTAAAAGCAGTTATTATATAGGCCCACATAGTGACCCTCTAAGGGAATGCACAACTGTGCCATGGTAACTGATGACAGTGACAAGGTAGGACAAAGACCCCAGGCCTGGTAATTTAAATGAAATGGGTATATACCAAGAAATGACAATATTACTAATATCAGTAGAAGACAGTGGGATGGGGAAAGTACCATAAGCAAGGACCCCTGGCAGGGGGTGTCCCAGGGGCAAAAATGTCCCTGTGGGTGGCCTATTATCAGCTCAAGAAGAGAGGTAGAAACCAATTTCATAATAGAGACTTATTAACCTATTTGCAAAGAAAGATTATACTCTATAAAAGGGAAACTACCTATTATACTTAAATTTAAAGGTGGGTGTGGTAGCACATGCCTACAATCCCAGCACTGTGGACCGCTGAGACAGAAGGATCATCAGCCTGGGCCGTAGAGCTACGTTCTGTCTCAAAAAAAACCCCAAACAAACAAATAAGCAACCACAACAACAAAAAACAAAGAAAGAAAGAATATTTCACTTTCGAATGCTCCCTACTCATCCAGAGTGGCTATCATTTCTCTTTCCTCTTTCTTTCCACCTTCAAATAAATCATCTGTTTTAAAAAAAGAAAGAAAAACCTTAAAAAAACAATGTACAGATACATGTTCATCCCATAAGAGGGTGTAGTGAAAGGGATCTCTCAGAGCTAAATGGCTATTTCTGTGGTCACAGAGCACACAGCAGCACATGGACCAGCAGCCTACCTTTTCTTCCTCACTTAGGGGGTCTCCAAGCTCATCTTGGGAGAAGTCGAGGAATGCCACAGAACCATCCATAGAACATACCAGGATACCCAGCCCATTCAGAGTCCTGGAAGAAACAGCTATCAGCAGTCTGGAAGCAAATGCCTGAGGTGGATACCATGCCACAGTGGCTGGCCTATGAGGATGGTTGGACAGTGCTCTAGGTAGAAACTCTTGGCTTCCTTCTGTGGCCCGAGGATGGGGCAACAGTCACATCTCAGACTGCCCTTGTGGCCTTTAGTTCTAGGTACATGGACCAAGTATCTCTTACCATAAAGATTTGTAAGAATTTTCAATTTTAGTTCTCTTATTTTTGTAATCATTAAAAAATATCCTGAGGATGTGTATCTATCCTAAACATGGTTTGTTTGAAAAGGCATTTTCCTTTGGCAAATCCTACTTGGGGCAGGACATTTTCATAACAGGAGGCACAGGAAGTGCTGGCTCCTGGATCTTATGGAAACCACATGTTGAGGTCTGCATTCCTTTGGGAGGGTGCACTGGACACCTTGTCCTAACCATATTCAGGCCTTATGACCTATTGCAGCCTATGTACCTTTTCCAGTTTAGATCTAAAATGGCCTCAAAGGACTCATGTGTTTAGAAGATGAATGGATTATGGGGACACAATAGCTGTCTTTTTTTTTTTGGTACCAGGGATTGAACTCAGGTCCTTGTGGTTGCGCAACAGGCGGTGAAACCACTGAGCTAAATCCCCAGCCCACACAATAGCTGTCTTGCTGTTAGGAGGCGAGGCTTGGTCAGAAGAGGCAGGTCACTGGAGGCATGACTTGGAAGGGTAAATCTCCAGGATATGAGCAGCTTTCCTCCACAGCAGGCCCTTCCACCATACCATTTCTGTGTTTGACCCTGCCAACCATGGACTGAAATTTATGAAACATCACCCAAAATAAACCTCTCCTTCTTTAACTTGTATCAGGTATTGTCTCAGCCATGAGAAAGTGACTAAGACAGCACCACAATAAGAATTCACCTTACCAAGATATATCCATAATGGATTTGTCAAACAGCTCATGTATGACAACCAGAGGCCGTTTCAGACACGTGAGCTAGAAAAAAAGCAGAAAAGATTACTGGAATTACTGACAACCCTAGTTAACACTACCTGCCTGGAAGCCTTGGTCAGAGTTTCTGCTGACAAATTATGGTATATTCAACACAATCCAGACAGTAACTGAGATCCACTGTGCAGACCAAAGCCTGCCAGAAATATGTACATTACAGGTTGCTGCCTCAAGGCTTGCTGTGATCTAGCAGAGGAGATGGCTTTATATACACAGCACCAGAGAAGACAGAATAGTAAGGGAATCTGAAGGACTGTGATCCAAGCAGGGGGACAACCCTAGCTGGGAACATAGAGAAGATCTATGGAGCAAGGGATGAGGCAGCCTCAGAGAGAATACAGCTCAACTTCTCTGGGATCATGAGTTTAGGTTACTCAACAAATGGCGTAACTTATTACACAAGTCACATGGGCTTACTTTACAATGTGTGCAGACAGTCCACAGAGGCCCCAAACTAGTATACATTCCCTTTGGTCCAGACTCAAAGTTAACTACCATTAAAACTTTGCTAATTTATTTCCTTTGGGCCTATCTTTTGCAAATATTCATTTCATTCTTCAAAAGGAGGCACATAGTATAATGTATAATATTCAGCATGTGCAGGTTCACTAGCTAGTCACTCTAATTTTTTTTTATTATTGTTATTTTTTTTTGGTACCGGGGATCAAACTCGGGTCCTTGTGCCTGCAGGACAGGCGGTGGAACCACTGCGCTAAATCCCTGGCCCAAGTCACTCTAATGTTTTTGAAAGGCAGCCTTTCTCCATGTTTCCACAACTACAGTGAGTTTCATCTCTCACACCTAAGTGTCTGCCCTCTCTGCTGATATGCTCTGAGCCACAGAATACTGGGCTAGGTGGAAATACACTTCTTCATAGGACCACGGGCTCCCACTAGCTGTTGTAGATTTGGGGAGGGTACACTGGTGAGCCTTTCACCCACAGCCCGAGTCAGGTATGCAGGGAAGGAAGAACTGTGGCCACCCTAGTTCTGAGGAAGGGCTGGGGTCTCAGCTATCTGGAATTTACATCAAGAATCTTGCTCCCTAAACTAAGCGTGGTGGCACATGCATGCAATCCCAGCACTTGAGTCTGAGGCAGGGGGAACGCTTTGTTTGAATTTAAGGCCAGCCTGAACTGCACAGTGATGCCCTGTCTTGAAAAAAATCTTATTCTTATCCTAATTCCATTTCACTAAAAAAGTAGCCTTGACCTCCTCTCATAAATGTGCCTAAAGATCTATCAGGAATCTGGGGCCTGTATGACCACTTGACCTCAGCATTTTAAGAAATATGAGCAGGACCAACAATGGGCAGCTGGATGTGAGGAGCCCTGAAGAGCATGCTCTGAACTGCCACTATGGTTCTGAAATGGGTGTTAAATGCCTCCTCCCCTTTCTTATTTCTTTCATCTGGCTAATAGTTTCACTTCTACTTTCTTGTCATCTTTTTTAGATTCCATATATTAAGGAAAATATGAGACATTTGCCTTTCTGAGTCTGGCTTATTTTGGTTCATATAATGGTCTCCAGATCCATCCATTTTCTTGCAAATGACAGAATTTCTTTCTTCCTTGTCACTGAATAATACTCCATTGTGTATATATACCACATTTCTTTATCTATTCATCTGCTGATGGGCATCTAGATTGGTTCCATATTTTGGCTATGATGAATTATGGTGCAATAAATACAGGTATACAGGTATCCCTATAGTGCGGTGACTTTTCACTGCTTCAGGTATATAGCTGAATCAAACGATAGCTCTATTTTTAGTTTTTGGGGGAACTGATTTTCATAGTGGTTATAATAATTTACATTTCCACCAGCAGTGTAGAAGCCTTTTTACCCCCCATATCCTTGCCAGCCATCATTGTTTTCTTTATTCTTCCTGATAGTCATTCTGACTGTAGTTTTTTGAGAAGTACCTGTTTGATTCACTTGCCAATTTATTGATTGGATTGATTGTTTTGGTCTTAAATTTTTTGAATTCATTATCTGTTGGAAAAGTCCCATTTTGTAGGCTGTCTTTACTCTGTTTTTGTTTTTTGTTTTTTGGTACTGGGGACTGAACTCAGGTCCTTGCGCTTGAGCAGCAGGCGGTGAAACCACTGAGCTAAATCCCTGGCCCTGTCTTTACTCTGTTGCTTCTCTTGCTGTGCAGGAACTTTTAAAATTGACATAGTCCTATTTGCTGATTCTTGCTATTATTTCCTATGCTGTTTTGCCTGTGCCTATGGCTTCAAGTGTTTCCCCTATGCTTTCTTTTAACAATGTCAAGGGAAAAACCAAAACCAAAACAAAAAACAATGTCAAAGTTTTAGGTCTTATACTCCATTCTGAACTGAGTTTTTATAGGGCAACAGACAAGGATTTAGCTTCAACCTTCTACAAGTGGATGTTCAGTTTTCTTAGAACTGTTTGTTAAAGAGCCTATCTTTTCTCCAATGTATATTTTGACTCCTTTGTCCAGAATCAGATGGCTGTAATTGCATGAGTTTGTTACTGTATCCTCTATTCTGTTCTATTGATCTATGTGTCTATTTTTGCACCAGTACCATGCTATTGTTGCTACTATGGCCTTGTAGTATACAGTAGTACCTCAGTTCATGAACTTTTTTTTTGGTACCGAGGATCCAACTTGGGACCTTGTGCTTGTGAGGCAGGCAGTGGAACCACTGATCTAAATCCCCGACCCCTCATGAACATTTTTACTTGGGAAAAATGTGGTTTGCAAAAAAAAGCATTTAGCAAAATTTTGTTTTAGTTTGCAAACACTGCATTAGGTGATGAACATGATTGTGGCCATCTTTTCCAGAACTGTGGAACAAATTAAGTTCATGAACCAAGATACAATTGTAATTTGAAATTGGGTATTTTGATGCTTCTGGCCTTGCTCTTTTGGCTTAGGATTGCTTTGTCTATTCTGTGTCTTCTGTGTTTCTGTATGAATTTTAGAATTGTTCTTTCTACTTCTGTGAAGAATGTCATGGGTATTTCAAGGGGACTTAAGTGAATCTGTAGTTCACTTTTGGTAATATGGCCATTTTGACAATGTTAATTCTGCCAATCCATGAACATGGAAAGTCATTCTATCTTCTGGTGTCTTCTTCAATTTCTTTCTTCAGTGTTGTGAATTTTCTTTGTAGAGGTCTTTCATTTGGCCAGATTGATCCCTAGACATTTTATTTGACGCTACTTTGAATGGAATTGTTTCCTTAATTTCCTTCTCAGCTAGTACATTATTGAGTAAATGATTGAGTAGAGTAAAGCTTTTTTTTTTTTTTGGTACTGGGGATTGAAATTGGGTCCTTGCGCTTATGGGGCAGGCAGTGGAACCACTGAGCTAAATCGCTGGCTTAGAGTAAAGCTATTGATTTTTCATTGTAGTATTTCCCCTGTGATCTGGATTTTGTTCATGAAGTCTGCCTACTTCTATGTCCTCAAGCGTTTTACCTATTCTCTCTTCCCGGAGATTTAGTGTTTCTGTTTTACCACTTTTTTTTTTTTTTTTTTGGTATCAGGGATTGAACTTGGGTCCTCGCGCTTGCACAGAAGGCGGCGAAACCAATGAGCTAAATCCCTGGCCCCTGCTTCTGTTTTAATATTTAGATCTTTGATCCATTTTGATTTTAGGTTAGTGCATGGTGAAAGATATGGGTCTAGTTTCAATCTTTAGCATGTGGAAAGCCAGTTTTTCCAGCACCACTTATTTAAAGAGGGTATCTTTCTTCCAGTGAAGGTGTTTGCCTCCTTTGTCAAAGATAGGGTGACTGAGTATGTCTGGAGTTGTTTCTGCATCTTCTAGTCTGTTTCATTTATCTTCAGGTCTATTCTTTTGCCACCATGCTGTTTTTATCACAGTAAAAGCTACTGATTTTTTTCCTTTTTTTTTTTTTTTTTTTGATACCAGGGATTGAAATCAGGACCTTGCGCTTGCGAGGCAGGCGGTGGTAGCACTGAGCTAAATCCCCAGCCCAAAAGCTATTGATTTTTAGATGTTGATTTTATGCCCTGCTACACTGTTGAATTAATTTACCAGCTCTGAAACTCTTTAGGGTCTTCTCAGTATAGGATAGTGGTGGTGAACCTATGACATGCATATCACAGCTGGCTATTTGTTACCACTGAAAGCTCTAAAAGGTTTGCCATCACTATTATAGGATCATATCATCTATAAACATGAATAATTTGACTTTTTCGTTTCCTATTTCTAACCCTTTTTTTCTCTTGCCTAATTGCTCTAGCTTCACTTTCAAGAATTATATTGAATACTAGTGATGAGAGTAGACATTCATGCCTGTTTCCTTGAGAAGAAATCCTTTCCCTGGAATAAAACCAACTTGATCATGTTGTATGACCTTTTTTCTTTTGGTACTGGGAATTGAACTCAGGGCCTCCCACTTGCCAGGCAGGTGTTGTGCTGTTGAGCCACATTCCCATCCCTGTATGACCTTTTAAATGTATTGTTAAAGTCAGTTTGTGAATATTTTAGTAAGGAGTTTTACATCTATGTTCATCAAGGATATGGACCTATAATTTTCTTTTTTGTGTGTGTTCTTGTCTGGTTTTGTTATAAGGGTGATGTTAGCCTTGTAGAATGAGTTTGAAAGCATTCCTTTCCTTTGTATTTCATGGAATAATTTGAGGAGCATTGGTGTTAGTTCTTCTTTACAAGTCTGGTAAAATTCAGCCATGAACCCATCTAGTCCTGGGTTTTTCCTTGGTGGAAGAATTTTTATTCCTGTGTCAATCTACTGGTTGTATTGACCTGTTTAGGTTTTGTATATGTTCTTGGTCTGGTTTGGGTAGATCCCAAGTGTCCAGAAATGTATCCATTTCTTCTAGACTGTCCAGTTTATTAGAATACAGGTTTTCAAAGTACAGTAGTCTCTAATAAACCTCTGGGTTTGTGATGTTTGTTGTAACACCACCTTTTTCATCTCTAATTGTATGATCTTGATCTTTTCTTTGGTTAGCTTGGTGAAGGGTTTATTGATCTTGTTAATCTTTTCAAAGAATGAGTTGTTTGTTTTACTGATCCTGTATATTGTTCTTTCAGTCTCTATCTCACTAATTTCAGTTCTCATCTTTTTATCTTTCCTTTCGTTGGGTTTTGCTTTGGTTGTTCTTGTTTTTCTTATCTTTTCTTTTTCCCCCCCTGAACTTAGGACCTCACACTTGCCAGGCAAGTGTGGCACCACTGAGCTACATCCCTGGCCCTGTTCTTTTCTATGATCTTTGTTTTGTTTTGTTTGGTACTAAGATCTTGAGATGCATGATAAGGTTAAGATCTCTCTGTTCTTTTTTTTGAGACAGGGTCCCGCTATGTAGTTCAGACTAGCTGGAACTCATTATGTAGCCTAGGCTGGCCTTGAACTTGTGGCAATCCTCCTACCTCAGCCTCCCATGTGCTGGGATTATAAGTATGCACCACCATGCCTGGCTCTCTGGTCTTTTAGATGTAGGCATTCACAGCTATAAAATTCCCTCTTAGAAATGCCTTTGCTGTACCCCAAGATTGTGGTATATTGTATTTCCATTTCAATTTGATTCTAGAAAATTTTTAATTTCTTCCATGATTTCTTCAATGACCCACCCATCATTCATGTGAACTGCTCGATCTCCATGTGTTTGCACAGTTTCCGTGGTTTCCCCTGCTGTTGATACTTTTTTCATTCCATTATGAGCTACTAAGATGTAAGAAATTATTTCAATTTTTTTGGTATTCGTTAAGGTTTGCTTTATGGCCTAAAATATGATGTTTTGAATAATGCTCCATGAGCTGGTGAGAAGAATGTGCATTCTGTAGTTGTTGGATTGAACGTTCTGTAGAAAACTGTTAAATTCTTTTGAACTATTAATAGTTTAACTCTGATGTTTCTTTGTTCATTCTTTTGTCTGGATGACCTATATGTGGGTGACAGTGGAATATTAAAGGCATCCACTATTATTGTCGTGGGATCTATGTGGCCCTTTATGTTAAATAATGTTTGCTTTATAAAATTGGATACACTGATGTTAGGTGCATAAATATTTAAAATTGTGCATCTTTTTGGTGGATCATTCCTTTTCCCAATATGTAGTGGTTGCCTTTGTCTTGTCTAATTCTGTTTTGAAGTTTGCTTTGTCACATATGAGTATAGCTTCTCCAGCTTGCTTTGAGGTTCTGTTTGCATGCAATATTGTTTTCCATCCTTTCACTTTTAATCTATGTATGTCTTTGCTAGTGAGGTGTGTTTCCTGTAAGCAGAAATAAGCTGGGTCTTGTTATTTTTTGGAAGCTTTTTTTTTTGGGTACTGGGGATCAAACTCAGGACCCTGCATTTGCCCATCAGACTTGGTGCCACTGAGCTAAATCCCTGGGAGGTCTTGTTATTTTAATTCAATTTGTCAGTCTGTCTTTTAATTGGAAAATTAAGACCATTTATATTCAGAATTACTATAGAAAGGTATGTACTAATTCCTGTAATTTTGTTAACTTTCTGTTTGATTTTTTTCCTAATACTCACTAATTTATTTATTCTTCTGTATCTAGGATTCCTTTAAGTATCTTCTGCAATGCTGGCTTAGTAATCATGAATTTCTTTTGTTTATGTTTATCTTGGAAGGTCTCTACTTCTCTTTCGATTTTTTTTTTTGGTACTGGGGATCGAACTCAGGACCTTGTGCTTGCGAGGCAGGGAGTGGAACCACTGAGCTAAATCCCTGGCCCCTTCTCTTTCAATTTTTAAGGATAGTTTTGCTTAATATGATAATCTAGATCAGCATTTATTTTCTTTCAGGGCTTGAAATACATCTTCCCATGGCCTCTTAACCTTTACAGTTTCTGCAGAGAAGTCTGAAGTTATTCTGATGGGTTTGCCTCTATAAATGACTTAAGAGTTTCTCCCTTATAGTTTTCAATATTCTTTCCTTGTTCTATAATGTGACATGGGTTAAATTTTCTTTAAAAAATTGTGTATGGTTTGTTTTATCAAATGTTAAACAATTGGAACAGAGAGGGATCTCAGCACTCAGGGGCAGGATGACATCCTCCACTGCATATTGAGGTACTGAAGGTCATAGAACACCAAACTTGGTGATATGAAACTTAACAATCCTTTAGAACCTTAAGTTCTTATCACAGTTCTTACCCTTTAGTTCTCACCCTTCAACCCATCACTGAATATTTGCTGAGAACCTGCTTGATGGAAGGTACTATGTTAGGAAGAGAAGGAATACAAGAGCTTTAAACACAACACTGCCATTTCAGGGGCTCCTATCTCAAAAAGAGTATAAGACCCACAGTCTTATCCATCACAGTATCATCTAAAGGGTTAAATGGACAATTAAATAGAGGTACCAACTAATTATGTAAAGCAGTCAATACTGGAACCTTGAACATTCTGCATGTCTTTTTTGGACATAAGTCCTTACTGACTTAGTTATACACTGAGGAGTGGAACTGCTAGGTTATATGCTTAGCTTTAGCAGAAACCGGCAAGAACTTTTCTCAAGTCTCGTATCAACTTAAACACCCCTGAGTAATGCATTACTTTCAGCTAAGCAAATCCTTGTTAACACTTGCTACTCTCTCTTTTTTTGTTGTTGTTGCTGGGGATTGAACCCAGGGTCTCACTCAGAACTCTATTCCCTGCCCCTACTTTTTGTTAAACTTAGTCATTCTATTCTTTTTTTCTTTTTTTTTGGTACCAGGGATTGAACTTGGGTCCTTGTACTTGCGCAACAGGCAGCGAAACCACTGAGCTAAATCCCCAGCCCTAATAACATCCATCATATGGAATTTGCAAGTCATTCTATTCTTAAGTTGAATTTTTTTGAGGGGGATACTGGGGATCAAACTTGGGACCTTGTGCTTGCCAGGCAGTGGCAGTACCATTGAGCTAAATTTCCAGCCCAGTCATTCTATTCTTAAGTACATACTCAAATGAAAAGAGAGAACGTATGTCCACTAAAAGACTTACATAGGAATGTTCTTATCAGGTCAGGTGTAGTGGTACATACCTATAACCCTAGCTATTCAGGGGGCTAAGGAAGGAAGACTGCTAGTTCAATGCCAGCATGGACAACTTGGCAAGACCCTGTCTCAAAGTTTAGAGGACTGGGGGTATAGTTCAATGTTCCCTGGGTTTAATCCACAATACCACAAAACACACACTCTCTCTCTCTTTCTCACAAGAAAAAGAAAGAAAAAAGTTGCTTTTTATTAACTTTGGTAAAAATATCTCACAGCTAGAACAACCCACATATCCATTAACAAGAGAACATATAAATTGTGATATGCTCCTATTGTGGAACACTACACAGAAATAACAGGAGTAAACTGTTAAATACAGCAGCACACACAAATCTCAAAACATTATGCCAAGTGAAAAAAACCCACAATACTCAAAAAGTAAACCCTCATGAGTGCATTTATATGAAGTTCAAGAGCAGAAAAAATTTACCCATTTGAGAAAGGCTGTTAGAACTTTTGCACTGGTAAGGCTGGGGGAGGGTCTTGACTGGGCAGGGGCAAGAATTGTTTGGGCAGCGGCGACACTGGTGTAAACGTAGACAATTATTCACTAAACTAAATCTTTTAGGTCAGTGGTGGCAGACCTATGGCACACATGCCACAGCTGGCTGTTTGTTATAACTGAAAGCTTTAAAAGGTTCGCCATCACTCTTTTAGGTGAATACATTTTATATATATATACTATATGACAATACAAAGAATTTTTTAATAGGAAGTACACACAATATGCCAACTATGACACTGACTATGGAAGGTGCTGTCTGAGTATGGACACAGAGCTGCTCTGGCTGGGGGTCAGGGTAGATGGTCTTCAGTGTTTCCTTCTACCTGAAGGAGACCTTTCAGGTTTTTAAGGAGGGGCTGACTCCTGGGGCAGGGTAGAGGTGTACACTGGACACCATCAAAAGCAGCAGGCCTCTTCTTTGTTCAAAACCTCTGGGTATGCCACCTTCCCAGCCCATACCTCCCACCCTGCAGCAGAAGCTCAGACTGGTGGCTCACCCAGACAGAGAGCGAGCGGTCCTTGCTGCCAACAGCACAGCAGCAGTATGGGCAGCTGGGCTTTGCAGAACTCCCATTCTTCTGCTTCTTTTTGAAGATTTTTGGGTTGAATTTCTAAAGCCAAAGAACAAATGCTAAAGTAAGTATTTAAGCATCCACACCCCATGCCCAGGCATTAGAAATATCAAAGTCCTCACCCACCAATGGAAGTCCTTTACAGAGCCTGAACCCATGTTATTGGGGTATGTTATTTCATTTTCATAACTACTCAAGAAGGTATTTTGCTGATGATACAAAGGAGTTTCAGGGAGGTCTAAAAACATACCAAGTCACTAAATGAGTAAGCAGTGGAATGAAAATTTGAAGTGAGCACTACTAATAACTCCATTTCTGGAGACAACAGCTAAGTAGAGGGGATGGGAGTTACTGGAACTTGCCCTCTCAATTCTTCTTCGCCTGGGAGGGTCAACAGTAGGACCTGGTGAAAAGTTGAGCCTGCAAGGGAACTTCAGGGACCAGGACCTGTGCATTTCCCATCTCCTAAGGGAGTCCAAAGGGACTGGCAGGAGAGACTTAGCGCATTTAATTCCTTTTCTCCTCACTGTATTTGTTGTTCACAGCCATACTTACTTACCAGATATCAGCTCAGCCCAGCCCAAGAGGCTCTCATAATCTCACCAGGCCAGGGACAATGGCTATGTCCTTGACTGGCTGCTCAGTCAGGGAACTGACCACCTGTGTAACCTGCCTGTTGCTTTTGGAAAGGGTGGGAACACATGAAGAGTTCTCTGCTAACTTCCTGGACTGAGAGGCTGTGGGAGGTAGTGGAAGCTCTTGGAATCCCAGGCTAGGACATCTAAGGGCAGATGAGTGGTATCTCCTGGAGGGGTTTTCACTCCAGAGCATAGTTAGGAATGGCTAATGGTGCACAGTGACTGGAAAACATGGAACACGGAGGAATGAACATGGCTTGAGTCTCCACAACCACCAGTAGGTATAGGGCCTTGGGGAGCCTCATGGCTCCCCCTTGAGGCAGGAGTCATTTTCTCATAAAGCAGTTGCTCTTAAAGTGGCCATAAGGCTCACATGAGAGAAAAACATAGAAGTGCTTGCTAACTATTAAGTGATGATTTTCAAAAATTTTAGCAAAAGACCCTATTTTCAAACAAAATCCAATATGGACACCAACACAAAAAACTTAAGGAAGCAATATTTATTTCTATGGAATTTCCATTTTAAGGTATAATACATGATACTTATTTTCAGCCAAATGAGCTCGATTTGATCTGGGTCTTGGATAAGCTTTTACTTTCATCAACATGAATCTGCCAATCTTTTTACAGTAAGTCCTTGACTTACAAACGAGTTCTGTTTTGAAAGAACATAAGTCAATTCATTTGTAATGTGACAAAGTGAGTCTTATACAGTATACTTGTGAGAAGTTTGAAACTTGAACGTTTGTAAGTTTATTTGGTTGTCCAGTGGGAAGAAAATCTTGATTGACACAGGTTATTAGCAACTACTTAACTGTTTGTCTTGGGCATTCTCACAACACTCTTCAATTAAAGTCATCCAGATTGGTGTATATTCTCTCAAGTCTGAAAGATTAGCACTCTGGCCCTCTTTATCCTCCACACAAAGATAGGACGAGCATGCTAATGACCCCAGCATAGATCGACAGCTTTGACTACCACTGCCAAACATGGGGACAAGCATGCTGCTTCAGGGGTACTCAGAATTGCTCTGTGTTCACTGGAGCCAGCAAGTGAGCATGGTAGTGGAGTACCTTTGAACAGACCTAAACATGTAGAAGGCTAGTGTGGAGCTATAGTATTCCTAACAAAGAAGGATCTGGGTGATAGTCACCATTAAAACATTAAGTATTTACCGTGAAACAAGCACCACCATGTGCTGCCTCTCGGAGGACATCACTGCAATTTCCCATGTAAGTCACTCAACCTTGGTGAGGATTCCTGGAGAGTTTGGCACTCCCCAGGCTCTAAGGGCACATGTAAACTACTGCAGTAGGCCACTCAGGGTGGTGCTGACAGCTGCCAGGACGTCCAGAGTCCAGGCATACTCACCACAACAGTCACAGCTTTCCGGTGCCCCACGAAGTCCATATTGGTTTTCCAGCCCTCCCGTTCAATGATCTGGGCAGTGGGGCCAGAGTTGTTCATGGCATGGGCAGATACCAAGTAATGCCCATCAGGTGACCAGCTGAGCCGCAGCACATGGGTTGTCCCTCCACACTGAAAGAAATATTTGCATTTGAAAAGAGCTCAAGGACAACTATGTGACCAAAGCTGTCCTCCAGGATAAAGGTGAATTGTGATTTACAAACATGTTATGATGGAGCATGCATCCCAAGCTTCTGGCTGTACTTAACACTGTCACTCCAATCTCTCCAGATGGCACAATGAAAAGGGGGTTTTGGGGGCTGGGGATTTGGCTCAGTGGTGCCGCGCCTGACTTGCAAGAGCAAGGTCCTGAGTTTGACCCTGGTACCAGAAAAGGGGCTTTCGGTCAAATGAGTATGGGACCTGTGGTATCCTCCACTCCCCCATAGGACTAAAGAGAGAACAACAGCACAGAACTATATTCCCCAAGAAGATCTGTAGGGAGGCCAACTTTTGAACCATCAAGTTGGCATGGGGCAAATCTATCTAGTCCCTGACCTGCTGCTACTGTATATAGCATGTGTTAACCTTAGTATACAGTGTACATACAGCATCCTCAAGAAATTCTATAAAAGCCAGTGGTGGTGCATGCCTGTAATCCTTGCCCTTGGGAAGCTGAGACAGAAGGATGATCTTGAATTTGAGGCCAACTTGGGCAACACAGCGAGTACAAGGACAGCCTGAAGCCAGCCCTAAAAGATTTAGGGGTTAAGATCTTGAACAGAGAAGGACAGGACAAAGCAGAGCATAGATACAGTGATATCACCTGCCTCAGACCCAAAGGCAGGATGGCCCCCCAGCAAAGTCTGCAAAGTCCTACCAGTTTCCACTGCTATTCAAGATTCTCTTGTAGCTGTCTCAGGAGCCCAGCTCTTGGGAACCCCAATTGGCTGACAGAGCCCTAAGGAACTCCAGAAGGTATGAGGGCCACACTACCTGCACTAGGCAGCTACAGGTAAGGAGGACAGGACTAAGTAAGACCCAGTCCATGAGATTAGTTTTCTCCTTGTAGCCATCCTTGACTAGTGGGCAAATACTTATTCTTCCTGCATGTCTTCACGTCTGTGTCCCTTGCTCTGAGAAGCCTTCCTGACATAATTACCTCTTCTTGGCTGTTACTGCCCACTCTGGACAAAGGAATCATACTTAAAGAGCATGTAAATGTGTCTTTCCCACAGAGATTCCATCTCAATCCACTTTTATTTCTCTGTACCCAGTACTGTTTCACAGACAACTGGCACACTTAATGAACATCTAATGAATAAGAATGATGTATAGTTGCTTCTACATGAAATCAACTAAAATAAAGGAATAGATAGTAAAATACTACAAAAACCACCCTGATCTATACCTGTTCTACAAACTATACTGCTAACTCCACCCAACAAAAAAAGTCAGCTGTCCTGCAGAACAGACATCAATAAGCAAAGAGACAAACATTGCTAGGAACATACATGAGTCTCTAAAAAAAAAAAAAAAAAAAAAAGAAACTCCTCCATGTTCCTCTCCTGCAATCCAACAAGCTGCTCAGTAGGGCAGTTCAAGGTAAATTTCCCATAAGGAATGGCTATATCTATGTCTATGGCATGAGCTAGGGGATATAATCCTATAAAAACAGCCCTAAAGTTCTCTTCAGCTTTAAAAATCTATGAATCTTTTTTATTTCCAAGTTGGATATTTAACATCTTCTCAGAAAGCAAAGACTTGTACCTTAGGGCCAAAGTAAGCACTCCAGAGAACATTGACTGGCCTACTCAAGCCCCAAGACTGCCTTCACACAGGTAGTCTAAACCATAGCATGGAGGTTAGGCAAGGACTGGGGTCAAGCTCTAGGCAGTCTCAGTTACCTCGTCAAAAGGCTTGGTGATGCTGGTCTCTAACTGCCAGTCCAGTGTTCTCCACACCTTCAGGCTGCGGTCGTCAGCTTGAGAGGCAATATATTTACCAACAGGGTCCCAAGTCAACCCCTTCACCAAACCAGAATGACCTCTCAGAGTTGCAAGAATTTCTATGAAAAAAAACCAAGAAATTTAGACAGACATTACTCAGGAGGAAAAACAATTGAGTATAGAAAATACGAGTGGCACTGGGCCACGTAATAGAAATCTAAGAGAAGGGAGTTAAGCAGTCCAATTTGGCCATCTCCTACCCCTGGGAACAAGCAAAAGAGGTCCTTAATTTGATCTCCATCAAGGCAAAAGCAACACAAAAAAAATGACTGCATCAAGAAGACAGGCACAGGTGGATTTCCCTTTAGCCACAGCTAACATCTGAGGGGTTGCACATGTCCCCAAATGAAAACGGAACAAGGGGCCTATGGCTGGGCCACTGCTGCCAATTCTGGCTCCACATCTTATGGGGTTGCCTGTGGCTGCTTTTGATGGACTAAAGCCTGGCAACCTGAGCTGTGACTTGAGCACTTCTGTAAGAGTCACCTTGGCAGGCCTACCTAATACCTTAGGCCACTGGCACTCAGCAGCAAGTCATTGTAAGTCCATGTGCACAAGATCACCTCCTACAGATTTGTAATATAAATGCTATACGGGTCCCCTTCCTCTGCTGTGGCCAAACTGCGTGTCCCCACAAATGCTTGTGTTAACTTTAAAAGAAATTGAAATGTCTTGACTCTAAGACCATAAGATGTTGCATCTTAGCCCATGAGGAAATATACTCCAGATACTGAGTGGGAATGTAAAAAACATTTAATTAAAAAAAAATTTATTAGTTAAAAACAGTAGCACTATAGCACTAAACCATCTCTTATGGTTTTAAATATAGTGAATAAGGAAAGTTAATATTTTGCAAAACTGGATTTATGTTAGCCTTCATTGGGTAAAGGACTTTACAGAGTAGAAGGCAACTGAGCTGAGAGGCCAGAGCCCAGTGTTGAGATGTAAACAGCATGTATGTGAATGCTAGAGTCCTCAAAGCCATGTCCCAAACTACCTTATGATCTGTGGCACACTCATCACAGCACTCAGCTACTCTTTTTCTTTAGCACAGACCTCTTTTAAACCTTAAACAAATGTAAATGAAAAAAAAAAAA